AATTTTATATATAATTAATTATGAAAAAAAAAATATATTATATATATATTTATATATATATATATATATATAGATATATATATATATATATATTTATATATATATGTATATGTATTTAATTTAATTTAATTTCATTTTAATTATTAATTTTTATATTAATTATTAGTATTAACCGTGTTTTATTTGTTAAGCTTTTATCATTATTTTATTATTATTAATTTTCTATAAAAATGATATTATTATGATTATTATCTTCTGGATTTTATTTATCTTTCCAAAAGTCATTTACATTAAAAACATATTTTTCTTTAAAAGTTTTTAATTTTATATTTTTTTCTTCCTTTTTTTAAAAAAAAATATTTAAAACTTTAGTATCATTTAAACTTTAATTTTAGAAAAAACTCTAAATAAAAATTTCTTTTTTCGTTTTTTTATTTATAAAAAAAAAATCGACTTTCTTCCACAAAAAAACCATCAATAAAAATTCAAAAAAAATATTAAAAAAAAAATAATCAATAAAAAAAAATTCCAAAAATTCCAAAAAAATTCCAAAAAAAACCAAACAATTTATCCCCTAAAAAAAGACCAAAAAAATCTCCAAAATTACCATTTTCTTAAATAAATTTAAACTATTTTATTATAAAAAAAAATTCTCCTTTTTCATCTTTTCATCTATATTTCCACCAAATTTTTCTTATAAAATCTACTTAATATAAACTAAGCACAAAAAATTACCAAATCGACTCCAAAAATACAATTTTAGGCTTTCTTTTAATAATTTATCACCACATTTCGCCCCAAAAAATGCTTAAAGTATAACCCTAAATACTAATACTGCCATCCCTGTTCCAATAAAAACATAAGATCCAATCAAAATAGACTTAATAATAAAAATAACCTACAAAAAGTACTCTAAGGAAATAAAAAAGGCACAAAAATATAAAAAAGCTGCTCTTTTTTCTCTATACCAACCTGTACGAACTCCCACATAAACCGAAAATAAAACAAATGACATAAATATATATGGCAGATTAAAAAAGAAATAAAAATCATGATTTTTTTGGTCTTTTTATTCTTCTATATAGCACTAATTTTAAAGTAAAAAAAATCCTGAATCACATTTTAAACAAAAAAAGGGATTTTTTTGACATTTCAAACAGGATTTTTATCCACAAAAAAATTCTGAAATTTTTTCATTTAAAATTGTTTTTTAAGCTATAATTTCATTTGTAAAAACCGAAAAAATTTAAAAAGTCAAAAAATTCGAATTTTATTGAACAATTTAAAAAGGAGGATTTTCCAAAGGAAAAATTTAAATAGTTTAATTAGTAAATTTAGGGTAATTTTGAGGTCTTATATAGATTTTTTAGTCTCTTTTTTCACAAAAAACATCCTCGCCATTCATTTTACATATAAGAGGAACATTTTATATAATTTTGATATATTAAGGAACTTCTATGAGTATATAATGTTGCTCTTTTTCAATATAAAATTAGGTAGAAAATATTAATTTATATGTAGTCTAATCAGAAATAAAGTATGAGAAAGGAAAAAATTAATCAATAGTAATATTAGATAAAGATGAGAAAAATTTAAAAGGCAAATCAATTTACGAAATAAGGAATTTTTCAGAATCTAAATGAGAAAACGAAAAAAGAGAATCGCTTTCAAAAATCGCGTTTTTTTTTTAAGGATTTTAAATGATTATATTATTAAATTAAAGACTAATAGTCGTCTATTTTTAATCTTTATTTATAGTTATAAATTCTTTATTATTAATTAATATTTCAATTAAATTACTATTTTATATACAATTTAAAGCTTTTTATTACTATAGACTACAATAAATACAATTAAAGTTATTTTAAAAATTAAAAATGTAATCGCTTTTATTAATTTTCAATTAAAAATAATCGCCTTGTAAAATTTCATAAAAATTCCCAATTTCAAAAGAAACTTCCAAAAAGTTATTTTGTTTTTCAAAAAAAACGCTTTAAATAGAACTTTTAAAACCAGATAATTCCTTTTCTTTTTTCATTTAAAAATAAATATCATTTAATTCTCCTATAATTTCTCCTTTATTTCTACCCGAAATTTATATACACCCACTTTTTTTAAAAGATCTAGGATTTCTAATGTTAAAAAGATGTATTTCTAATTCCTTTTAGCCTAAAAAAGCCTATTCATCGAAAAAAATATTCACAATCTACTAATTAACTTGCATACATTTTAAATTTTTAATTTTTCCCTCAAAGAAGATAGCACAAGTAGGACTTTTATCCAAAACAAGCAAATCCTTTCCTAAATTAAACTATAAAAAGTCCTCTTTTAGTTATAAAAAATGACTTTAGAATTTTAAAAAAAAGACATAATTAGTATTTTCTAAATTCTAAAAAGATTCTGGAAAAGCCTAAATTAAACTTATTTTTTATTTAAGGAAAAGAGGACTTTCAATTTTTTAAAAGAAGCAAGTTAAGTTTTTTTCAGTTTATTAAAACTTCATTTAAATTTCAAAAGGAAAAATCGGATTTTTAATTTTTTTAAATTTTATTTTTTAAAAAAGTCTTTCATTTTTTTACTAAACTAAAAAAAATTCAAAAAAAAAAAATTAAATTTTATTTTAATCAAAATTTAATAAAATTTCGCATTTTTCATCATTTTTTTAAAATTCAAAAATTAAAAACTCATCAAAAAATTTGCAGTTTTTCCTTTGTTAATAAAAGCCTAAACCATCAAAATTTAAAGCAGAAAATTCCTCTGAAATAAATTCTAAAACTATATTATGATTTTCTTATAATTTATCTTCTAAATCTAACCAAAATCCGATTTCTAACTCACTAATATCTCTTGAAAATAAAGAACTAAAAACTAATTTTTCCATTTAAATTTCCCCTGGTTATATTTAATAAGCAATCTTAGTATCTGAATTTAGCCAATTTCCTAAATTATTATCTAAAAAGACTTCAAAAGATAAATTAACCTTAATTGGTAAATAGTAATTTTTTAATCCCTTCATAATTACAGAAATACTGGAAAGATCATCTGAAACAATTTTACCTTTAATAACAAAGCTTTATTTACTCTTCGTTTAAATTTCTAGTTTTTCTCCTTATAAATTAAAGGCTTAAAATTCTTCTAAAACTTCGATTTCGTCGCCAAATTTTACCTAAAAAACTGAATTTGGTCCAAATAGAATTTTCGCTTTTAAAAATACCTAAAATTCGTTTTTTTCATAAATAACATTTTTTTTAGATAATAACTCGATTTTTTCAAAAAGACCTCCCTTTTTTACTATAAAACCAACTTTTTCTTCTGTCAAGACTTCTTCCTTTGCATTTAATTCTTATATTATAAAAAAATCCTCTTTATGGGAATATAAAGGACAATTAAACCCTTTAGAAATTTAAATTACATATTATTCTATAAGTAATTTAGAAGATGGAAACATATCTTTTATTATTAATTAATTTTATTTAATAGTACATTAAATCGTTTATTATATGTTTTTTATTCCTTCACATTTTAAAGATTTTGGGTTAAAATAAGATAAATTTTTAGATAAACTAGTATATTCTGGAAACTCTATTGTTAAAAAATTTCCTTTTTAAGAAGCGACTACTGGCTATATATATATATATAAAGGTACTTCAGTTTAGGCTAAATCTTCTCCATCGTTTAATTGAAAATATTTCTTTCCTTTAATATATAATTATAAATGTAGATATAAATATATGAATATTAATAAAATATATATATAAAATATATATATATATATATATATATATATATATATATATATATATATAAATATTTTATCTATTAGTTATTTTTAATTATGTTTACCTACAGTTTATTAAGGAATTATATTTATAATAGAATTTATTGATTTTATCAAGGTAGATTTATTATATATGTCTGTTTTTATAGTATATTTATTTGTTGAGGGAGGATTTATTAAATTTTTGATTTCATAAATTTCAGTTGTACGAATAATTTCTAAAAGAAACAAAAGCTAACAAGAATCATATTCACAATTTAATTTACATTGACTATATTATTATACATTTATATTAGATTAAATACATTCTTGAAAAGGGTATGTTTTTTATTCATAATTTAATGGAAAAGTCATTACTATATTATATATTAAACCTTTTGATGGCTTAAGATTTGTAAATTAAAAAGTAGTTATTACAGAACTTAAACCAGCTTAGGCTTGTAACATTTATATAGATAAATCTTAAGTATATATTGCGTTAAGTATAGTAAATAAGTATATTATTGTTAACATTTTTTATATTTTTTTGTTTTATTTTTTCAAATAATTTTTTTTTAAATTAGTTTTTTTTAGCTTAAAATTAAATTTTAGCAGATTTTTTTCATAAAATTTAACCGAAATTAATATATATTTATATTTAAATAATAAATTAAATAGTATATTTAATTTTAAATATATTTTTCTAAAATAAAATTAATTCTTTTAAATATATATATATATATATATATATATATATATATATATATATAAATATATTTATTTATATATACTTATTAATTAATCAAATATATAATATTTATTTTTTAAATAATATAATATATACCAAAATAATTATTTATTTATTTAATATATTTATAATCAAAGTATACATTTAAATTTAAATTTATTTTAATTAATAATTAATGAATAATTAAGACGGTTTTTCATTATTTTACGGCAAAAATATGGCAAGTCCCTAATAAAAAAACTAAAACCAATAAAATATAAATGACAGTTTTTCAATTCAAAATAACACGTCATTCTAACCTTAATAAAATTAAGGTAATTTAGCTTAATAATTCCAAGATACGAATTAATAATAATAAAATGCCACTTATTAATATTAAAACCAAAACCAAAAAGCTTGCGTACATATTTAAAAAAAAAAAAAAAAAAAAAAAAAAAATTATTGGTATAGATAAATGAATAAGATATAAAATAAGATGCATAAGGTATTATAAATGATTTAGGTATTAATTTATAATAAAAGCTATAATCTTAAATAGCTTAAATTGCAATGAATAGAATTCTTAATTAATAAAATGAATAATAGTAATAATAATAAAGCTATATATATGATAATTAATATTAATAATAAGAAAATGAAGGATTTTGTGAATCTTTATTTAAAAGATTTTGTTTTTTTTTTGATATAAAGTAAAAAATAATATATTATAATATTAATACAAATATAATTATAATATATACTAATATAATATATAAAATAATCTATATATATAATATAATAAATAGATCATATAAACCTTATTTTGAGGAAGTAACTACCTCGGCAGTTATAAAAAGGCTTGCTTATTCATTAAATCCTCTTAAGTCTGATTTTTTTAAAGTTTCTGAAAATAAACCTGATTTGTTAATTTATTTAAGATTTTATTTCTATATATATTTTTTATAAAAAAATAGTTATGGACCTATTTGGATATCTTTTACTTTGATCTTTACTTTTACTGCAATCGGAAATCTTTCTCTTTATTTATAAAGTGCAGTAATAATTTAAATACAAAAATAAAATAAAAAAAATATTGATTAAATAAAATTGAAAAAAAGGATAAATCAAAATTTGAATATTAATTTTCTTTTATACCAAAAGCTTTTGTATTAGTAAAAAAAAAAATTAATAAAAAAAATAAAAAAAACAAACAAAACAAGGTTTGCGGATATGCAATAATAATCCCTATTTTTGTAGCATTTTTAATGTAATTATTCGGAAGTTTAAAAATATACTATTCTAAAGTATAAATAAAAATTATATATAATATATATATATATATATATTTATTTATATTATATTATATTATATTATTATTTTTTTTATTTTTTTATTTTTTTTTATATTTAAATTTAAAACTTTATCAAAAAATGAGGCTACATAATATTATTTTTCTTGCCTTTTCTTTTTCTTAATTAGATTTTTTTTAAATAATATAATAAAAAATAAAATAAAAAAATATTAAAAAGTTAAAAACTTATATTTAAATAGATTAGTTGTATATATGGATATAGTTTGTTTGTTTTTATTCCTATTTCTATAATATGTGTAATTCCTAATAATTATTTATAAATTATTTTATTTTCATATGGCGCTATAAATTCGACTTTATTTTTGATAAATAATTTTAGTTAGTAAATAACTTTATAAATTAATAATTATATAAATAAAAATCAAATAAAAATATAGAGAATTAAAATATCTATAAACATAAGAAAATTAATTAAGTCGAAAAAAATATTAATTTTATTAATTGCTGTCATTTAAATTGTATTAATGATTTTGTACAAAATTTATTTTTTTAAATAAGTCTATTAATAAAGTAATACAAATAAT